ATCAATCATCCCCTATCCCTAGCGTAAGGATTTAGCTACTCATGTGGAATTGAACAGGAACAATCAAATTAACCCAAGCCATCATCATCAACTCAACAATTGAAGAAAATAAGAACTTACGATTAAAATAGAGAATCCCAATGTTAAAATCCACAAGCATCCAAATCCAAAGCGGTAAATAGGAGTTTTCCCATCTCCAATACGAATCAAAAGCGTAAAAGTAATGAACAGAGTGAGTTCTCTAGAGAGAATAATGTAAAAAACAAGTTCTGGAACGTGAATAATCAAGTCTAGGTCGAAAATCTGATGTTAAAATCCCGACCTCGAAATTCGCACCGAGCAAGTCGCGAGTCGCGACTTACCAAAAATCCATCTCGCGAGTCGCGAAATATCGCGAGTCGCGCGTCGGCAAAAATATGTAAAATCTGGGGAAAATCGCGAGATAGCTCGCGAGTCGCGACTTCATCTCGCGAGTCGCGAATTTGACTCGCGAGTCGCGACTTGTCTCGCGGAAGTCTTCTTTTCGGCTCTGTTGGACTCGCGAGTCGTGACCATCTCGCGAGTCGCGACTATCTCGCGAGTCGCGACTCCGACTCGCGAGTCGCGAGAAGCTCTGGAAGCTATTCGGTCCGTTTTTTTTTCGGTCCTTCCTTCGGTATTCTGAGCACATCAACGGGTATTCATGATATCTCGGTCTCAGCTCTAGCAGTCTCGTCCTCAATCGACATAACCTACCTCCTGAAAACACAAACACGAAGAAAACACGAAGTAAAATACAGCAAAAAGACACAAAACGAACTAAAGAGAGAAACGGAAAAATCACAGAATTGGACCAAATAAACTACGGAAATCCTATAAGTGGGGAAAAATAAAGAGAAAATAAAGCGAAAATGAAGACACAAAAATGGGACAAACATTAATCATTATGTCGGATAACACATCCGCCTGCAGGGCTTGACATAATATTCATTCCTGAGCTCATTTCGGGGACATCATCAACCTAGCGCACTGGGACACAGTGACCGTAAATAATTTATAACGGCACATCATATAAACACACTTATTTACCAAAATACTGAGTATGTCATCCTAGAAAAATATGAATCACCCTTGATAAATCAAATAAATAAGTAATGAATACGTATGCCCATTTTATATTATCTTACAACTTAAGAGTACACATCAATTACTGAAGGTCTAGATTACAACAACGGTCAGTGAGTCTCATAATCTTATCCTTCCGTGATCCTGTTCAACACCTATCATAAGTGCTAGTGTAATTCTCCAGTCAAAGACCAACTGAATCAAGAATACACTACATCTTGATCACTGGAGACAGTGTGAATATGTTGACAAATGCAAGGGTATGATTATCCAAGTAGTGGTACATGAAAGATTCAGAATCAACAGATATTCTTGAGATTGAGGATCACAAGAAAGATATGTTGCGATTATCCCAATTTTCATGTACAGACTGTCATAAGGCTCATTTTATTTGCATGATACAGAGGCAGTCCTTATGCATGGCAAGCGGAAGCCTAGTATATACAATAGGTGAGGCCTGATATTTATTTGCATGGTTAGTAAATATCGAAGTAATCCTAGATGGGAGCAATGATTCATGGTAGGTCATAAGATCAACCGCCGTAAAAGGGCTAAGGATAATAAGTAAGGTTACCAGATGAACCATAATCAACCTTTGGATTACAAAGGATTCTGATTTCTAATCAGACATGAACAACAAGTAAAAACCACCTTATGGTTTGTGTTCACTTGTGGGAACCAAGCAGATTAGGGGAATGTCAAGCGGTGATGCGTTGAAGGATTCCACTATGAACTCAGTATGTCCCTTCCCAAATGGCGAGCGACGTAGAGATTGGATTCGCCATTAGACTAAAAATGTGAAACCTCGTCTGGCCAAGTCAGGTCACAATTTGATTGTGATGACAGTTGGTGCAGTTACAGACAGAGAGGAATCACTAGTTCATAAACCAAGTGACAGATAGAGCAAGTACGCCCGTTGCAAAGGACTGCGACAGGGTGGATGTTTGTCGCCTAGTTACATCGGTAGACAACCAGGTAAATCCTTTTAGGATTGGCTTTCCAGCGAAAGCGGATGATGGCTGTTATCATCCGACTCGGTAAAGCACTATTAAGGGCCTTAAACAGCATCTTAAGCAAATTCAACTCCAACACCGACGTGATCCGAAGTCACCCCGGTTCGCACGACAAACTGGCATAACCACAAAAGACCGAAGTGATCATTAAAAGCCGAGGCCATCCCAAATCGAGGTCAACACAAACCGAGGTCGTTACCTCCTAAGCAGGTGAAAAGGCGCCTACACGTCCTTCTCGCGAACTACGAGATCTGCTATCATTCAAGCAGGGCCCACTAATCCTGCCGCCCATCAAAAAGTAGCTTTATGGAAAAAGCAGCGCACGGATCCCGATATATGTATCAAACAAGTTACTATAAATAGTGGACTGATAATACTTGTACGGGATTCAATTCTTCCTTCCCAAACCGAACTTCTTGATTATTTACACGAAACAGCTCATAGAAGCTTTCCACCTCGGTTCACTTCGGACCGGGGCCATTGTGGAATATTTTATCCATGCTTTACGTTCGAATCACTTATGATCATTAAATAAATACAGGATTAGATCGTTGTTAAAAATCACGTAACAACAGTTTGGCGCTAGAAGGAGGGCCTCATAAGTGATTTGAGGTTAATCTTCGATTCTTACTCTGTTCGGCATATCAACGGCAGCCATGTCGCATTCAGATCATCGTGGTCATACGTCGCGAGATGGCCACAGTCGCAGCGCCGCTCAGTCTGCCAGACGCCAACATCAGCTCTCAATATCCCGGATTATACTGTTCTTTTCCAAAATCCAGAGTTTGCACGTGGGTTCGCTGCTTTGATGGCTCAAACAATCCCTAGAACATCAACGACTGCTCCAGGACAATCCATAATACCAACAACTCCTGCTAATCCGCAGATTCTACCAGTGCGACAAGACGGTGGCAGAACCACTTCTCACACCACGTCTCAACCTCGCAGTCAAACGTCACAACCGCACCCAGATCAAACTACACGCCACGCTGACGTTGGGCGTAATCCCCTTGTAATTCCTCGTGAAAAAACCGCCGAAAGTCAGTCTGGACTTTCACGGTGTTCACCACCTCATACGCGACACCAAATCCCCTCTAATACGGCGCAAACCGACCTTCGTCAGCATATTGAAAGAAATCGAGCTCACCAAGAATCATCCGAACTTGAAACATTGCGACGAAGAATCGCCGAGTTGGAAAGTCAGCAAAGGATGCCGGAAGACCCCCCTCGGCGGACCTCCACCTCGGCGCAAGTATATCTGGAAGTCGATTCTCCCCTCACGCCAGAACTCACTTCGGAACCTGTACCCGGAAAAGTCAAAGTTCCTCAAATCGGGTTATACGATGGGACCTCGGACACCGATTCACACCTCGGTCATTACACTTCGTGGATGGACCTACATGGGGCCTCAGACGCACTTCGGTGTCGCATGTTTTCCCTTACGCTGGGGCCTCGGGCACAAAAGTGGTACCATTCCCTTCCTCCTCACTCTATTTAAAAGTGGCAACAGCTGAGGTCGGCTTTCCGATCTCACTTCATCGGGGCCCAAGTTTGTTTGATCCCAAAAGAGTCCCTGGCAAACGTAACTCAAAAAGACGATGAAAGCGTCAAGGATTATATTGCTCGATTCAACGACCGAGTTCAGAATATGGAGCCGTGTCATCCCGAAACCTTGCTTGTTATGGCTATCGCCAGGCTGAAACCAAACTCAATTTTTCGCTGGACGTTATGTCAAAACAAGCCAAACACTTTCCAAGAATTTCTTGCCCGAGCTCAACAACACATCATAGCTGAGGAGGCCATGTCGGTCCCCGACTTTAATTTTAACCCGAAGTCATCTAAGGCAGGAACCGACGAGAAGAAGAAAAGCAAATTTTTCGACAAACAAAACAAGGCTCAATTCAGAGGACCTCCTCGAGGAGATGCCAACGACCCTAAAATTCGAGCAGCCCGAAAACAGTATGCTACCGACGTGAAATCTGGTTATCAGACAGTGTATTCAACTGGGGCTGCCACCATATATGAAAAAATCAAAGGGAAAGGCATCCTGCCCGACCCCAAACCACTTCGGATGCCCGAGGAGAAATTTGATATGTCTCGATATTGCGATTATCAAAAATCGCCGGAACATAACACTGATGAGTGTTTGAGTCTGTTAGCCGCCTTGTTGCGTTTAATTGGTCATCCTCAACTCAGGAAGTTTTACCGCAACACTGATCCTCAGAAACGCGGGCCAGGACGTCAAATCGAACCTTATGATGAAGACAAAGAGGAGGACCGAGGTGCCATGCTGAAACGCATCCGGCAAGGAGACAAAGAAGTATTCGTGTTTACCTCGGAAACACCTGATTCTGACTCAATTGGAGCCTCCCGAGGACGCAAGCGGAGCCGATCTCCTAGCTCGATGCAAATCACTGTCCACCGTGTAAACACCAATAACACCCGGAGTACCTTATCCCGTCGATAAATCAAGGCCTACGCTCGACAAGCTTACAACTTTGGCAAACAAGTGTACACCACCGATCTGAGAGACATCCTCAATAACCGAAACTGTCCCATAACTTTCAATACGGAAGATGCAAATTATTTTGCACACCCTCACTCTGATGCACTTGTCATTACCATCCCTATATGTGGAATCCCAGTACACCACGTTATGGTTGACACTGGGGCCTATTCGAGCATTTTAATGTTAAAAGCTTTCGATAAAATGGGTCTTATCCGACGGATATCCGACCTTGCAAAGATCAAATACAGGGGTTTAACGGAAGCATTTCGAAGCCCATCGGTGAAATTACCTTACCTGTCAGATTCGGCACTTCCGAAACTGTCACCAAGCTGGTTATGGAAACTTTCAAAATTCTTGACATTAACAACGAGTATAACGCGATCATCGGAAGGACTGCTTTGTACAAACTCCGAGATGCAGTTTCCATTTTTCATTACGCACTTAAATTCCTGAGGACGCGTGGTGAAGGAACGCATTATGGGGATCAAAGGGAAGCTCCAGAACTCATCACCTTTATACCGTCCTCCAGAGTCCATTCCACCACTCCGGTCAATGAAGAAAATTCGTTACCACAAAACACCCCGGACAACACGGTTCCCGAGAACTCGAACCCCGACGTTATTGTTTTTCCCACCTCGGATCCTTTATCTGAAGACCGAGGTAGGCGATCTGGAAAGGAGCCATTCCTTGAAGAAGACGAGTTGAACCCAAGGACTCAATTCAAAGAAAAAAGTCGTAGTGATCGAGCCGAGCCCGGAGAAGAAGTAGAGTTGATTTACATCGACGAACCAATCTTCCAGAAATCATTGCGCATTGGAAGTCATCTTTAAGAGCCTCTCCGGTCAGAACTCATCTTATTTCTCAAAAATAATTCTGATGTTTTTGCTTGGAAGCACGAAGACATGAAGGGTATCGACCCCGGTGTCGCTAGCCATAAGTTGAATCTCGATCGAACCGTCCGGCTTCAAAAACGAAGAAAATTGGGACCGGATCGTCAGAAAGCATTGGAAGAGGAAGTCAAGAAGCTCATCGACAACAAGTTCATTAAAGAGGCCAAATATCCGACATGGGTCTCCAACCCCGTCCTCGTCAAGAAAAGCAATGGCCTTTGGAGGTTATGCATCGACTTTTCCGACCTGAACAAAGCATGTCCGAAAGACAGTTACCCACTTTCTCACATAGATTATATGGTTGATGCCACATCGGGACACGAGTTGATGAGCTTTATGGATGCCTACTCCGGTTATAACCAAATTCCTATGGATCCCGAAGATTCAGAACACATCTCGTTTTATTCGGCACGGGGCTTGTACTGCTATACCATGATGCCGTTTGGATTAAAAAATGCTGGGGCCATTTATCAGCCTCTCGTCAATAAGATGTTTTCCAATTTGATAGGTCGTGCCATGAAAGTCTATGTAGATGATATGCTCGTCAAGTCGGTGCACGCTTTTGATCATATAACACACCTTCGGGATATGTTCAGAATCCTCCGATCTTATTCCATGGTTTTAAATCCTAGAAAGTGCACCTTCGGAGTTGAGTCCGGAAAATTTCTAGGCTATATGGTCAGCCAACGGGGAATCGAGGCCAACCCGGTCAAGATAAAAGCCATTCAAGATTTAACTCCCCCGACCTCGGTAAAGGGTGTTCAAGCCCTGACTGGCCGACTTGCGGCTCTTAATCGGTTCATCTTCAAATCTACAGATCATTGCAGACTGTTTTTTGAAGTGATCAAAAAAGGGAAGCGCTTTGAATGGACCGAAGAGTGTCAAAAAGCACTCACCAGCATTAAAGAAACCCTTGCGTCCCCTCCGACGTTACAGAAACCGAAACCCGAGGAAATGCTGTTCTTGTACCTCGGAGTTAGCGATTCAGCGATTAGCGCCGTCTTGATACGTGAAGAAGGGATGTTACAGTCACCTATCTAATATGTCAGCAAAGCCTTACATGATGCCGAACTACGTTATCCCCCCATGGAGAAACTAGCGTTTGCACTCATCATTGCAGCTTGGAAATTGCGACCTTACTTCCAAGAGCATTCCATAACTGTCCGTACGTCATATCTGTTACGACAAGTCCTGCACCGACCTGACACTTCGGGGCGCATGATAAAATGGGAAATTGAACTCGGACAATTCGACATCCATTACCAACCGAGGACCGCAATCAAGGCACAAGCCCTTTCTGACTTCATCTCTGAATTCATCCCAGCTGTAGAAGTTCTTGATGATAATCAGCCATGGGTTCTTTACATTGACGGCTCATCAACAGCAAACTGAGCAGGCACGGGAATAGTCTTGGCGAACCTTGAAAACTGATTATTCTGTCATTCAGTGAAATTTCTCTTCCCTGCAACCAACAACGAGGCCAAATATGAGGCTCTGCTATCCGGACTGAATTTAGCCGAGTCCATGAATGTGAAACACCTCAAAGTCTTTTCAGATTCCCAACTCTTCGTCAACCAGATCAATGGGTCGTATGAAGCCAAAGAACCTCGGTTAACACCGTATTTGTCCTTGGCAAAACGAAAGTTATCAAAATTTTCCGTCGACGTTGAACACATTCCCCGAACTCTTAACGTTCAAGTCGACGCCTTGTCCCGACTAGCCTCGAGTACCGGGATGGAAAGCATGGAGTATGTCCAAGTTGGACAGCAAGAGCATCCGTCGACCCTCTTTTTCGAAGTCCCGGTCATTGATCCGGTGACGTCACAAAAACCTCTGACTTGGATGGATCCCATTATTCGATATTTGGAAACTGGGGTCTTACCTCCTGACCCTAAAGAAGCTCGGGCACTTCAGATTCGGGCAGCTCGGTACACGTTGGATAACGGAACATTATTCAAAAGAGGGTATTCGGTCCCACTCTTAAAATGCCTAACTGAATCCGAAGCACGTTATGTTCTCGAAGAAGTGCACGAAGGAATTTGCGGAAGTCACCCCGGGGCCCAAGCTTTGTGTTATAAGATTTTGTGGCAAGGATACTATTGGCCTACTCTAAAAACTGATGCCACTACATGGGTCCGGAAGTGTCCGAAGTGCCAACTATTTGCACCCAACATTCATCAATCTCCCGAAGAGCTCAAATCAATTTACAGTCCATGGCCTTTCGCCAAATGGGGAATTGACCTCATAGGTCCCCTACCGACCGGGAAAAGAGGCGTCCGATTTGCTATTGTAGTGGTTGATTACTTCACTAAATGGGCTGAATCCGAACCATTAGCCACGATAACTGAACAGAAAGTTGTCGACTTTGTATGGAAATCCATCATTTGCCGTTTCGGAGTACCGAACTCTATCATCACTGACAACGGCCGACAATTCGAAGGCAAGCGGCTCGAGTCCCTCTGTGAATAATATAATATCAAACACTTATTCTCTTCGCCCTATCATCCGTAGTCTAACGGCCAAGTGGAAGCCGTTAATAAACTCATAAAGAATGGCCTCAAGTCCCGACTTGATGCTGCCAAAGGGGCCTGGCCCGAAGAATTGCCACATGTCCTGTGGGCCTATCGAACAACTACCAGAACTACCACCGGCGAGACTCCATTCTCACTCACTTACGAATCAGAAGTCGTGGTCCTAGTCGAGCTCGGTGAACCTACTTACCGAATTCAGCATTTCACCGAAGAGTCCAACTCGGATAACATGAAGGCTAATTTGGACTTGCTTGAAGAACATCGTGCCCGTGCTGAACTCAAGAATGCCGCTTACAAATGTAGAAGCGAAAGATATGTCAATTCCAAACTCAAGCCACGTTCCTTCCGAATAGGTGAACTTGTCGTCAAGCGCGTAATGGGACCTGACCCCGGTCCATTGAAACCGAAGTGGGAAGGACCCTTCCAGATCATTGAAGTCCTACCCCATGGGCCTACCGAATTTCTCACCCTGATGGAACTCCACATCAATATCC